TACTTACTAAGGATATTTTCAAAGGATATTAAGGAAATTTTCTTTCTATTTATAAATTGATAAACCGCACATATTTAATTGTTAAAACTCTTAAAACAAAATTTACATCAGGATTTTGGTTTAAGAATTCATTTTGTAAACCAATGGAAAATCTTTTATACTTATATATGAACAAAATATACACATATATACATATAATAATATTATGGTAATATGGTATATTTATGCACACACACACATATAATTATGTATAGTAGTGCATTACATGCACAGCTGTTCATTACAATCTCATGCAATACAATAATATATATATATATAATAAAAACCTGGAGCATTTAAAATTTATTCAACATTCTCACAAAATTAAAAGAAAACCGGAAAGGAAAGTTTGTTTCAATACTTATTCTTCTTGTTATGGTCAAATATTTCTACACTATATAATATAAGTAAAAGAAAACTTTTTAAGATCTCTTTTGTTTTAGTTCTTTACGTAAATTGTATACATATAGCATGTAATCCATGCGGTATAAATCTGCCTGTAGGAAGCATTCTTTTAATTTAATGTTTATAATACATTTTAAAAAATGTTTTTTTCCTGTTCAAAATTCATGTTACTCTGAATGATTCATTCTTTTGGCTTGATTTTAAATTATTCGCTCTAAATGTTAAGTATACGTGTTATGGTTTTTAGATACAAGTAAACCCGATATGTCAGCTTGTAATAATAGTGTCATCCATCTGTACTTGAAACGATTCCTAAAATCGGGTTATTACTAGATCATTTTAAAAAGTTCATTTCGAGGGCTCAGAAACAAAGTGGCCTAATTCCCACTCCCAAAATTTTTGATTTTTCATTAGGAATGTATTAAAATTAAGTACCAAATTTAATTTTATCGGCAAAAAAGTCAAATATTTCCTATATATTTCGATATTTTTTTTTGGTCTCATACCAAAGCTTAATTTTTTCCAGTACAAAAGTGGTCTATAACGCACATATTGTGGCAAAAATTTTGGTAGTGAATGTTAGCCTGCTTTGCTTCTGGGCCCTTCAATTATAATATTCAAATTAATACCTTAAAAGTGAACAGAACAACGAATTTTTTTTTAATGCATAAGATTTTTTTGTACTTTTTAAACTTTTTTCAACTAAACAAATTGAAAATAATTTGAGTTCATTGTTGCGTTTAAGGATGAAAATTTTTTTTTTTTTTTGTTTCAACAAAATAATTTCATGTTCTTTTAATTTAAAATGAAACAGATCCTTAAACCAAAGGAAACTTAAGTTTGGTATAAACATATTTTTTTGTTTTCTTGTTTCTTTATCTTTTTTGTCTTGGTAATTAATTTATCTTTTTGAAAACCCAAAAATAATATTATATAAAATAAATCTTTTTTTTATTTAAGTCGAACAAAATATAATTATAAAATTTTAACAGTTCAGTTATAGTAGACGAATTTCTTTGGGGGAAAGGTTCAATGCTGAAATTACAGAATTTATAATTTTATGAACTATTGTTATATGAGTTTTTCGAATGAGGAAGAGCCTATATAATCACGAACTCTGGCAAATTTATATAGGTCAAAAGAAGTTCTTAATTTATTTCATAAGGCTGTTCTATATGCTACTCTTTCTCCATATTTACTTCTACTATTTCTCTATTTAAGATTTCTACTTCCACATTTATATGTATTATACCAGTTCAATTATCAGGCATAATTTTGAAAAAGATTATTTGCCGATAAAAAGAATAAACATTCCGATAATCTGTTATAATGTTTTTCAAAAAAATTTTGTGGTTCTTAAAATACATAGACTTTATTGGCTTTATATTCATATTTAATACTATTCATGTATAGTAATCTCCCACTCAAAATGGAATTTAAAAATTACTATAATTTTCATTATCAAGAAATTCAACCAAACTTTACAAATAATAATTGCTTCTTTTTCAATTCCGATAAAAACAGATTCATTTTATCTTTTCAATTAATATTTTTTTTCCTTCTAGAATAATATTTTTACCTTTTCAAATAACTTTAATACCAAAATGTTTTTTTTTATCCTATATGTAAGAGATCAAAATTTAATCCAATGCCCATAATCACTTTATAAAATAGCAACAACAATGAGCTTTACATACATATATAAAAAAACAATAAAAAAAACGTGTTACGTTTAAAAAATCGGATTTAATTAAAAAATAAAAAATTATAATTTTATTTACACAAAAAAAAAAAAAGATAGAAAAACAATGAGAAAGAAAATAATAGGAAAATCATAGAATTTCATTCGAAGGATTAAACTTTTTTTTAAATGTGTATATATATGTATGTATATGCATATCATCCTTTAACACGTATATATACGTATATATATAGATTTTAATGCAGGTGCATTTATTTTCTTCTATTTACATTTTTATTTATTTTGCTTTTCATTTAATATTTACAGAAAAAAATTACTACATTTGAGTATCCATTGCAGATTTTAAAAACAAAACAATAAAGAAAAAAAATTAACAATTTTAATTCATTCAATCTTTTGAGGTGTATACGGAGGGCAATCCTTAAAATTATTAGGGAAATTAATATTATCAAAAATTTTCATCAATATGGTATATGCAAACAATTAAAAGCTACTGAAACACCTTTACTAAAGAGAGATATGGGCAAGGGAATTTTCTTTCCTCAACCACCGCATGGTTTATTACAGCCCTCCCATATCGCACTTACACTACTTCAGTCTCAAGCAAATACCCGGAGATATCCCTCAGGGAGTTAAACGAAAACCTCCTAAACACAGAATATGTATGACCATTTCTCCATCACCCCCGCAGAATCTATACAAAAGCGAGTCCGATACGCCCAGTTCTTGCCACATGTCAGTGACATATTTCATCACGACAATGCCCATAGAAGAACCCAGTAATAGCACCTACCCTGTTTCGATTCATCCCAATAAGCTCTGTTCGCGCTGAGTCACGGCATTCAAATCAGCGACTCTTTGTTTGTTAATGCCAGCTCCGCCAGTACGTGCACACAGCTCTAAAACAATAACGCCACCCTGCTGTCTGAAACTTATTTTCACAAAGTATTTTTGCAAAGTTTATTTTATATTTTAATAAATTATTTTCCCAGTTTCTATAGCATGCGTAAGAAATTTTAAATTAATTTAATTATAGTCCAACCATATGTAAGGAACTAAATACATTCAGCTATATGCAAGTAGAAATTTATAATGATATCTAATTTTATCATATAAAAACAAGTTAAAATTAATCTCAGTGCATGTTCAATTAAACTGCATAAAGCTTAATGTCAGATTAATCAGATGTGTAGTTATTATGTTTGTTTACATGTTCTACACTACAATATTATAAATTAGTATAACAACTATAATTAAAATATTGTTCGAATTTTACTTGTTATTTGAATGAAAAACAAATAAATTTTATTAATAATTATACTTAAAGATAAAAATCTGCAACATCATTAATAATTTTAAATTATTATTAAAATATATAGAATGACAATTTTTTCCGTCATAATATGAATTTCATATAATTTATATTGAGCGACAACTTCATAATAAAATTTGAAATAATCATTATTTGACTTGTTTTAAAGCACAAGCTGTAATTAGAATAAAAATTTAATTAAGAAAATTCTCATTCAGTTCCTGATAAAAAATTCAACTTTTGCACACACAATATGCATTTTTACTCTCATTCAGAATCTGACGCTTAGTTATTGTGTAGAACTTTTATTATCACACATAGACTCACTTAAATATAAAAGAATTTAAACAATTATTTAATTAATTATTGCAAAATATTACTCAATATGGATAGCATATGGGGCGACATTGAAGTTGGACGTGCGTTGAACGAAATCATAATCGTCTGACTATGGCAGTGATCGGCCCCGTGGCATATTTTCACACTGAAGGAGAAAAAACAAACAGTTTACATAAGCGCCAATAAATTTTTCTGGTTTTTAGTCTTTTGCTCAATTTTTTTACAATTTTTTTTTTTTTGCATAAAACTTGAATTTTTATGCATTTTTAAATTATTGAATAATTTATAAATGATTTTTTTTTTTAATATTTACAAAATATGAAAAAACGTATAAAACTTTATTTGCTCATATATGAATATTAATTTTTTTTTTGCCGGTTAATTTTTATATTAAGATTATCCTGCATACAGGCATCGTATATACAAACATTCATACGCCTATAGTAAAAAGGGAAAATTTTCGGGTATTAACGTGTTTTGTTTTTTTTATTTCTAGTAATTAGTACAATCCTTATCAGAATAACTAAAATAATAAAAATAATTACAAACATATATTGCATTTATTGTTATTAATATTAATAAAAATTAAAAATAAATGAATAAATTTAATCAAAAACGAGAGAAAATAAAGTTGACCGTGTCAACTCCGTGATACCCGAGATTATGACTTTAAGTTGCTGTATTACCATATAAATATATGCAAAATTTCAGTACTGTGTTTTCAATATTTTCTAAGATATGGCCAAACTACTATTGAAGTTGTATGACAGCTACCAGAAAGAGCGAAGCACTTTCAACTACTTTTATCAAACACATTAGCCTTACTAATATTATTCGCTTGTGTGAAATTTCAATAACAAAAGCTTTTATAGTTTCTGAGATATAGTCAATAGTGAGTGTAGTTGGGACGGATAGACAGCCGGACAGACAAAGGTAAATCGACTCAGAATTCGACGCTGATCGAAAAAATACACTTGAGTCTATATCTTAGACCATTATTTTTTAGCGTTACGGACGGTAAAGCAAATTTAGTATACCCTTCGAACATACGTTCGTACGGGTATAAAAAACAAATTTTTGGAAAATAAGTATGCCTAAAATATTCAAATTGTTTTTGGAAAAAAATAAACTATTTTTATAATTTGAAAAAAATGTCAAATTTAATTATAAAAAATTAACAAATTTTATTTTATTTTTTTCCAGATTCGAAATATAATTTCATTTTAAGAAAATTAAAAAACAAAAAAAACTCCCATATTAAGGAAAAAAATTCTTTAATTTTCTTTTAAATATCAAAAAATTAAAAAATACAATATGGAACGTGAGATAGGATCGGTGGAAAATAATACACCGACATCACATGTTGTTGAAGAATTAGATTTAGAAACAAGACGTAAACAATTGGTGCCACAAGAATCATCGCTTGCAACAAAAAGACAACAAGCTGTTTGTGTTAGAAGAGCATTTAAAGTTTATGGTACAAAAAAGAATCCAAATGTTGTCTTAGAAGGATTAAATATGACAGTACCAAAGGGATGCATGTAAGTTCTATAAAATAAATTATTTTTTTTTTCCATTACAAATTTTTAAATTCAATATTCAAAAATTTTTTACCCCTTAATTTGACAGTCTCGTCCAAACCATCTGCACTTCCTGGCGACCATAACAGGACAATCACACAGAATATGTGTGATTGCTAATAAAGTTAATTAATTCTTTAATATCTCATCCAAATTTTGTTTCTAGTAATTTTACGTAACCTATAGGTCAATTATAGTAAATGTGACCTTACGTTCAGAATTTATACTTAATTTAGGCACAATATATGGATACTATGGCAATTTCAAGATGCACTTGATTTGAAGAACATTTTCGGAAAATTTTTACATTCCTATAACAATGTCCCTAACAAATTGTTACTTATTTTATTAATCATTAAGAATCTTTTATTCCCTCATTGCTTATAACTTTAGCAAAGGGTTTTAGTAAAATTTTACATTTTTTTTTTCTTAATTCTTTTTCTATAACAGGAATTGAGCACTTTTACAAAATATTTTAAAAAAATTTTTCTTTTTTCTAATTTAATTTTTTATTTTTAAACTTTTGATTCTTCAAATAGAATACTAAACATCTACTCAAAAGGATGGAGTAAATTCAAGGATAATAAAATTATTACAATATCCTTTTGAGTAATTTACTTCATTATCTTAATATGTACTACGTATGTATGTGAATTTGAGTACCAACTGAAGAATATTTCAAACATTTAACTCATATTATTTGTCTGAATTCACAAAAAATTAAACATTGAAATATTTTTCTTCATTTTCATTTTGTTTTTTATAAAATTTTAAAATTATTATAAAAAATGTTTTTTTTTATGTGAATATTTTTTAAGGAATTTGTCAAAAATTTTAAATGGGATTTTTTTGTTTTGTTTCTTGTTTTTCATCATTTTACATCAGGGTCATAATTAAATTATAATTTGCTTATATTATCCTTGTCTTTTCAAAAAGGATTAAAATGTATAATTTGATATTTGTGTATGTATATGTATGTATATGTTTAATATTTGCATACATGTGTAGAAAAGATAATTGAGCTCATTTCAAATAGATGTGTGTATTAAGAAAATACACAGAAAAAAAAACTTAACAATTTAAAAAATTAAAGATGATAAAGAAAAAACGTTCATGCTTTTAATAACGCTTTGAACTTTGATGTTAAAAGAAAGCATTTTCGTTTTAAATGAAAATGAAAAAAAAAACAAAACCGAAAATTTATTAAAAAGGATTTTTTATTTAAAATTTTCTCTCATTTTTGTAATTTCTGGAAAATGAAGCAAGTCTTTATAAAAAGAAATCGAGTACGTGTGCTTATATTCAACTGTGCAATACCCAATAGTTACCATAGAGAATATTTTTTTAAAAAAATCTTGAATTCTTGGATCTCAATACCTTCCAGTACTTATTTTATGCCTAAATGTCATCCTTTTTAGCATTTCATTTATTAGATAGGGAGAGATATGGAAAAGAGAGAGTTTAAAATTCTTAAAACTCTCCAATTCTTCAATACTTTTGCGTATATTCAAATAAGTGATTTGGAAATAAAATAAATTTTAAGTATGTAGTGAATTTTTTCCATTACAAAATTTAGTAGACCTTAAAATTCTTTAAAATTAAATTAAATACTTAAAAAAATAATTAATTATCATTAAGAAAACTCGGAAATTTTTTTAAGACAAAAATTTCACTTATCTAATTAAAAAGAAAAATTATTTCAATTTATTAAAAAGAATTATGTAAATATTTTCCCAACTTTGTATTTGAATGTACTCGGGGGAATATAGAGAAATTGTGTTGTCAAATGGAAAATTATTACAAGTGTAAAAGATTTTTATTAGATTTGTTTAACATTAATTTTATGATACTAATTCTGGGTACAACCCAGAAGTGGGTGTAATTGGCGCTGATGTACTGGTCGTGGGTTCTCCGTCGCCCATATTCTGCAATTTTGCTTATTAACAAAACCATTTAATTAAAAGTGAGCTTCATCGCTCATTATCAAATTGTGTATGAAATTTGGATTTTCTTCTGCTTTTTGTTGGAAAGAAATGGCATAATCAAGCCTTTGTTGATAGTCTATCGACTTCAAATCTTGCACAAGCTGAATTTTATATGGGAACATGCATATTGAGGCCGAAATTCTCTGAAGAGATCTTCGTGATAGTCCCAGCTGTGTCAAACGTCTCCTTGTTGATGTTCCTGGATTCTCATCTATACTGTTGACTACACGTTCAACAGTTTCCTCCGTTTGGACCGTACGCGGTCTTCCACGAATTTGTACGTTTCTTACTAATTCATTTTCTTCAAAATGTCTTACCAGGCGGTTTATTGTTGCTACAGAGGGCAGATTCCGCACATTGAAATATCTCCGATATGCTCGCCGAGATAAAGTAACTGATCTGTTATTTTGATAGTAAAATTCTATGATTTTTGTTCGCTGCTGCGTTGTGTACTGTTCCATTATAAATTTGCCAAGCCATGTTTACAAGATTCTGAAATAAAAAAAAAAAAATTAATAAATAAAAGAGCTATCAAGAATTCAAAACATATCGTTCTTTTTACGCCACCCTGTATAAAAGATTTATATTAAATTTGTTTAACATGAATTTTATGATTGTACCCAGAATTAGTCAAAAACATTGATCAATGCTAAATGCGATTTAATTCCATCCAAATTAACCATTCCTTAATGTCTTCTTAATCAAGAAACATTACAGGAATATGAAAAAAAAACATTTTAATATGCAACAAAATACACTATGACCTTAAAAGTTCTGCACTTAAAGAAGGTTTCATGATATTAAATATTTTTTTACAAAATATAAGAACAAAAAATAAGGACAGGATGAATTGGCAATGGAATTTCCAAACATGCTACAATTTTTTATACAAGAATGTGTAAAATATACGTAGGCAATAACAATATTAAAATTATAGGTATACAAAATAAAAATTCCAAATTATAATTGAAGAGTAAAATAAAAAGAATTTTTTTTCAAATAAACAAAGAAAAAAAACAATTCAAAACTTTCTACAATTTAGTTGACAACGACTTGACATTTTGTCGTATTTAAAAAAAAAAAAAACAAAAAGACATCATGCATATATGTGTAGAAAGAAATTTCTAACCCTGAGACTCTACAAAGTTTCTGATGTCTTTTGAATAATTTCCTATAGAAGTATCTATAGAAATGTCCTTTTCAAGCCATTCTTTTTTGTTTTTGTTTTTTTTTTGTACATAATATTGAAATTCATTTTATCATTTGGAAAAATTTAAATACTTAAAACATTTTTAGTACATTGCATAATACAAGCATTTAACAAATCAAGAAAATAAATTACAAAAAAAAAAACAAAATATTCTTGTTTATTTTCTAGTTGTTTTAAATAAATTTTATATTTCGTATGTGAATATAAGAACATGAATATTTTGTTACAAATGAAGTCTTGTTCTCTTCTTGTATGATTGTCTTTCTGTGTTTATTAACCTCATTGCTTATTATATCAATGGGAGTATTAATACCGTATCAAATTTTAAATGTGCAAATAAATGCAGTATACCATGATGGAGAACTACATAAAAAATGCTGTGTGTCAGTCGATTTCTTTACCGGATCTGCTTAATTCTAGACTTCCTAGTTTCGGCTACAAAAAATTTATCTTAAATTTACAATTGCAGTACATCATATCTGCTTGCGAATCTGCCAAATTAATAAACTTTTAAGAAAATCGGAATTCGAAAAATAAGCGCATTCAAAGAGGTGATCCGTGCTAATTACGTTAAATTTGATATAAGTGTGTAATATTGGAGAATAAAATGTGAAATCCAATTGACAACCTCTTGCGACCTCTTAACTGGACTTGCTTTGAAAATTTATTGAAATTTTTACATATATACTCTTTAGAAAACGTACACTGTTGTCGGTTATGTAGTGATCACATCACAATTTTTTTTTACATTATTTGCAAATATCAAGAAAAATTATATCGTAAACATATAAATAGGAAAGGTATTAATCTACATACATACATACGTATGCAACGAAAACATGACATGCACTAACATTTTTAAATTAACTAAGAATGTAAACACATAACTGTACACATTGATGTATACATATAGTCGTAGTTCCTCTTTGAAAATGATGATACCATAATGATTTTTCTTCAATCAATTATTCTATATGTATACATACGTATGTAAATCCAAACTATCATGAAGAGTATACAATAGCACCTGGAAAACATATCGGTGTAAATTTCCTTTTATAATATTTTTCGGTTCTATTAAATATATATAGAAAAGTCTCTGAAACTCATTTATTTTTTATATTAAAGAGTCGTCATCTATTTTGTAGTGAACTTCCGAACAAAGTCAATTTACGCAAAAGTCTTTTCTTTGAAATTTCTTGAATAGTGTTTACTATAAAATGTCACTATTTCGCTTTATTGTCAAAGTCAGAATAACTACAACTTGAAATTCAACTACATGTACTGTAAAATTCAACTATGTACATGTACTGTAAAATTCAACTACATGTAAAATTTAAAAGATTTCGTTCCACAATATTATTATTTAATTTCCATAAATTAAATTTTAATGGTCGTCAAAAGATTTTTAATTAAATTTTGCTACTATACATACATTAGAATTTTGTGTTATTGTAACTGTAATCGAAAATAAATTAGAAATATTATATGCAGTGTTGCCATATTAATCGTTTTCCAATTAAATTTTTATTCGACTCTTTTGGTTTTGGTTTCAACTGAATCTCACCTATAGAACATGGTAACACTTACAATTTTAACATATATTTTAATTAAATTTGTAGTATAATAGTTACTTATTTTTATTTGAATCAACTAAATCTAGTTAAAAATTCAAAAATTCTGGTAACAATGATTGCAATTTAAAAGTACATACTTCAGTTTAATGAATGTATGCATACTCGATTATTCATTTTAATTTGGATTTT